TTTTTTTTTTTTTTTGCTATTTTGTCCAATGTTCTTGATTATTTTTACCCTAAGGGTCGATCCAAATAAGCTAGCCTGCCATTTGTGCATTCATTTAGTAACTCACTTATCCATTCTAAAATGAGATAAAATATTTAAGATTTATCATCCCCATGCCATGCCTTTTAAGGAGTGGGCATCCCAAAGAGAAGTCTTTTTAAGGGGAGCAGGGAGTATTTAAGGGAGTATGTAGATACAGAGAAAGAGCAGAAGTGCTTCACCTAAGAGGCAGAATGGAGACATCCAGAAGACTCACCAAAACTGTGAGCAGAAGGGACCTTTTAGGGGACAGAAAAGAGAAAAGGCAGCCACCACTAGGAGAGAACAGAGATGTCTATAAATTTTTTTACGTTTATTTTTTGGAAAGAGACACAGAACATGAACAGGGAGGGGCAGAGAGAGAGGAGACACAGATGCGAAGCAGGTTCCAGGCTCTGAGCTGTCAGCACAGAGCCCAAAGCAGGGCTCGAATCCATGTGAGATCACTACCTGAGCCGAAGTTGGACACTTAGCCAACTGAGCCACCCAGGACCCTCGAGAACAGAGACATCTAATGGAGATTTTCATGAGGTTCTGCCTCATAGTGTGAGACGTAAATCCATTTCTCTGTTTCCCTCCAAGATCTTCAGTGAAGAATCAATGGCCCCTTAGTGCAAGATATTCTTGGACCTTCATCTTGGCCAAGTGGAAAGTAAGTTTGGTGGTGAGAAGGCTACTTTGATCCAGGCCCCCTTCTCACTGCACAACCAATAATTATATATTGAAGACCTACTACGTGCAGGGCCTCTGGGGGCATTGAGATATGAAAAGGATTAAGGGACAGTCCCTACCACATTTGGTAGGAGCACCGAAACAAAGCACCATGAGGATGCATGTGAAGGAAAAACACTCCTGCCATGTTTCCCCTTTACTGTGATGCCATGACCACACTCACAACACTTCTGACACCAGATGTGTGGGGTTTCTGCCCACACCAAGCAATTCTCTGTGACACCAGCTGGGTATGCTACCATCCAACCCAATTCTGACGCTATCTACCAGGAGGTAGCATCAGATCCCCCAGGTTAAGGGCTCGGTCCCACAAGACTGTCCCCACATCGCAAGCCCCATGCTGTCACCTGTACTTCTGACTGGCTATAAATCAGGGTTCCCATGACCCCCCTCCTCGGGTGTGATCACTTCATAGAGTGGCTCACAGAACTCAGAGAAACACTGACTTACATTTACCAATTACTTATATAATAAAGGATGCAGGTGAATGGCCAGACGGAGAGGTAAATCAATAAAGAGGGTGAGGCCTGGAAGTGTCCCAAATCAAGAGCTTCTGTCCCCCTGGAGTTGAGGAGTGCCACCTTCCTGTAATGCGGATGTACTCACCAAGCCAGAACTTTTGGGATTTTTATGGCGGCTTCACTATGTAGTCATGATCTATCATTAACTCAATCGCCAGCCCCTCTCCCCTTTCCTGCAGGATGGGGAGTGGGGCTGAAAGTTCCAGGCTTCTAAAGGTGATGGCCTGGTCTTTCTGGCGACCAGCCCTCATCCTGAAACTGTCCAGGAGCCCACCAAGAGTTGTCTCATTAGAACAAAAGACATTCCGACCACGCGGGAAATTCCAAAGGATTTAGAAGTTCTGTGTCAAGAACCAGAGTCTAAGACCAAATATTAGAACAAAATATCTTCCTAGTGCTACTGCCACTTAGGAAATGACCAGGATTTTAGGAGCTCTGTCCCAGAAGCCAGGGGCAGAGACCAGTAGATACGGCTTCTATTGTCTCACAATGTCCATCCCCTCCTGGTTAGGGGGTGAAAAGAGAGCCTGTATAGAATCCCCAGAAGTATGATTCGTGAGCAGGATTTTTAATGCTGAATAGAAAGAGACATGGTTAGACACAGCAGTATCAGCCCACCAGAACTGCCGGTGTGGCCAGCATTTCTGATTAGGAAGGCCAGGGCTGAAAAAGGAAGGTGTTGATGGTGTCATCTTTTGACAAAGTCAGCAACATTATCTTCAGAGTGAAAAAAAAAAAAAAAAAAAAAAAAAAAAAAAAAAAAAAAAAAGCAAGCAAGTCATGGCCTGAGCCACCCGCATCCAGCCACCCACCGGGCTACCAATGAAGGATCCTCACAGGACAGGGGCACATGATAGACAGAAGGTTTACTCAACGAGTAAGGGGGTTCTTACTCTTTCCACGAGGGTTCCAAGAGTTAAGTGCAAAGTCTGCCTTCCCTGAGCCTGATGGTGCTTAGAGTCTGGTACTCCCAGTGACACTAGCCAGCTGGCAGGCTTTCCCTGACAGAGAAGGAATGAACTCATGGCTTTTTTTTTTTTTTTTTGAACAAGCTGCACTCAGATGAATGGGCACAGGAATAGGCACTGGGGAAAGGGGAGAGGAGTCTATTAAAGATTCTCCTGCAGCTATTTAGATAGTTCTGTTGCCACGTCTCCCTTGTTTGGATGGGGTTTTAATCCACGGTCATAGAACACAATTCTCTCTTCTACCATCCATGTTTCAGTGTGCGAGACATGGTTTATTTAAAGTTTAATACGTTTAAATATGCACGAGATCATCCTTCTCACAGACATCGGTCTCGCTGTGTCTTATCTGGTGGATTCTATGAGCTGCACAAGTCTGGTTATTAAAATAAAACTGGAGGCCATGACTGCAGTGTAGCCATCAAATGCAGGTGGGGAAGCAGGGGTTATAAAATAGCACTGGGATTCTCCATACCAGTACAGGGTAGTGGTTAAGAGCACAGGACTCCCTCATACGACTATTTAACTTTGGGTAAGTCACCGTACCTCTCTGAGCCTCCTTCACCCTTACGAATGGTACCAAACTCCCAGGCTGGTTATTCAGGACTGAATGAAACTGCTTAGAACAGAGCCTGGTAAAGGAGACTCCCTCAGTAACTGCTAGCTATTATTATGCAATAAGGTGACTTTGATCTCTGTGGGCCTCAATTACCTAAAATCCTCAGATTTATGGCTAAAAATCTTAACTTCCAGGCAGGCTAGAAAGCATCTCTCATCTAAGAGCCAGGTGCTATAAATATAATTCCAATCATAGGAGTATCAAAAAGACAAGTGTTCGTTTAAAATACTTTTTTTAACGAGGTATTTGATCTTGGGCATTATAAAAGCTGGAGAGATTATTCCCCCCTCCCCTCCCTGGATCCAAGACCATAGGATCAGTTCTTTCAGACAAAAGTTTTAAGTCTGACAAAGTAGGCAAAGGGAAAAAGGAAATCAAGCACGTCCCAAAAGATTTCTGCCTGCTAGCAGTCTTTCCCACTGTGCTCAATGACCTCGTTTTTCAGTTGCAAATTCAGCTGAAAAGGTGAAAAAAACAACGGGTAAAATTCGTCTTGTTATTGTGGTTGAGAGGCGACAGAAAACCAGAGATTAAGGACTGTAACAGTTGGGTTAATTTCTATGTAATCTAAACCACTGGGGGACATGACTGAGCCAGTAAAACTGGGCAAGCCGATGTATTTGTGGTTTCCTCAGCTCTAGGGCTGAATCAAGAGCTCATGCAAGTGGAAATCAGGGGACCTGGATTCCGGTCCTATTTTTTTTTTTTTTTTCAACGTTTATTTATTTTTGGGACAGAGAGAGACAGAGCGTGAACGGGGGAGGGGCAGAGAGAGAGGGAGACACAGAATCCGAAACAGGCTCCAGGCTCTGAGCCATCAGCCCAGAGCCCGACGCGGGGCTCGAACTCACGGACCGCGAGATCGTGACCTGGCTGAAGTCGGACGCTTAACCGACTGCGCCACCCAGGCGCCCCACCGGTCCTATTTTTTTAGTTAACTCTGTGACCCCAGGGTTGTCCTCGAATTCTCAGGAGTAAGTAAATTCCTAACGTGTGTCCCCACTCCACCTCCTCTGCCCCCTTCCGCCTCATTCCCCCACCCACCACACACACTAAACCAGAGGGATTTTTTCAAGACGTAAATTGCTCTCAGCTTAAAACCCTCGGATGGCTGCCATTCCTCACAGGATAAAGATCAAAGTCTGGGCAGGGGGCTACAAGACTCTGGATGGGCCAGTCCTGTCTTTCTCCCTCAGCCCCAGCCACACATACTCCCCTACCTTCCCCCTCATAATATGCCCCCCAGAGGAGGGCTTTCCCCCATCCCATTCACCTACCTAATTCCCATTTAACCTTCTGATTGTTTACTTTTTTTCCAGTTACTGCTGCTGTGAACAACCATTCCCAAACTTAACAACTCAAGACAACAGGGGTGCCTGGATGGCTCAGTGGGTTAAGCCTCTGACTCTTGATTTCAGCTCAGGTCTTGATCTCATGGTCTGTGAGTCTGAGCCTCATGTCGGGCTTGTGCTGACGCTCAGAGCCTGCTCAGGATTCTTTCTCTCCGTCTCTCTCTGCCCTTCCCTGCTTGCACACTCCTTCTCTCTTACTCTCTCTCTCTCTTTCAAAGTAAGTAAAAACATTTTAAAAAATTAAAGAAAGAAAAGAACTCAAGACAACAAACACTTATTTTGCTGACAAATCTGCTGCTTGATCTGGGCAAGTGGGGGAAGGACTATCTCTACCATGACTAACCTCGGCAGCTTGAAGGGTCCATTTCCAACATGGCGCATCCACATGGGCCACAACTTAGAGCTGTCTGTCAGCTGTGCTCAGCCGGGGTTGAGACCCAGCAGCCATGGCTCCTCTCCCTATGAATCTCTTCATAGGCTGTCAGCTTCCTCACAGCGTGGCCACGGCTGGGTGCTAACAGTGAGCATCCTGAGACATGAGAAGGAAAAGCTGCGGTTCCTAGAGCCTGAGCCCAGAAATGGCATCACACCCATTTCTTTTTGACATGTTCTGTTAGCTCAACCACTCACAAAACCAAGATTCCAGGGGAAGGATACGTACGGCCATCTCTGCCTTGGAAGAGAGTCAAAGAACTTGGGGTATGTGGTTCTAAATGGCCACAACTTCCTCCAATGAGTATTCCCTGGCTCCGTTTCAGCCCAACTCCCTATTTTGTGCTGTCAAAGAACCATATACTCTTCCTACTCAGCCTTATCACAACTGCGTGTTTGGTCAAGCCCATTTCTGTCCCTAGACTCTGAGCTTCAGAGGGGAGAGGCTGGGTCTGTCTCATTCATTGCTGTGTGCACAAGCCTCCAGCAAAGAGATGTTCAATAAATCCGGGTAGAAGTGAATAAACCAGGGAACCTGTCAATGATTCAATCAATGGAGGGACTTAGACTGAGGCTCAGAAACTGAAAGGCCCTAAGGGAACTTGCACGTCCTGGGAAGCATTAAGGCAGACAAGGAGCAAGAAGCAGGCAACCCACTGAGAAGCCCACACTGAGGGTAAAGCAGGCAGCAACCTTGATCTTGGGTGCCACCTGACTCTGGCCAGCCAGAACAGGGACCCAGAGTGGCAACAACCTGCAAGTTTTCAGAGCCAAAACGTTTCCATTTTAATGTGAAATTTCCCACTGTTAAAATACAATCGATTCAGACATACACACACGCACACACACACACACACACACACACACACACACACAGGCTTGTTAAAATGTGTCTATTGGCTAGATTTGGTCACAGGCAAAAAGAAATAAAAACCTATGACTCAGCCTTGCTAGAAAAAAAAAAGTATTTTACATAAATGAAATAATTTGCTCTATGATGGTGGAGAAAAAAAATCTAATATGGTATTAAATGTAATTTAATGTTTCCTTTTGAAAGAGCCTTTTTCAGGTAAATGTCCAGTGGTTTCAAAGATGAACTGCCTGTCTGGGCTATTTCTCCCTTCTCTAAGCAAGCCCCCTCCTCCCCTATCCCCAGATGGTGTCTGGCTTGGAAGGAAGCTTCCATATTCTCTGTGGGGGCAGAGCATGAAGCTCTGGTTTCCCAAAGCAGCCAGCCTGGTGGCCGCAGAGGTATGCCTGGTTGTGGCTCATCTTTAGGGGCACACTTGTGCCTGCTTCTAAAGTTTGAGATCCCCCACACTTCATGGCTGGTTCAACCAACCAATTAGTCAGCAGTCTGTAGAGCTGAATGAAGCCTCTTTAAGGAAAGGGCCAGAAACAGGAAACACTAACTCCAGGCAGTTCCTTGGCTGTGTCTCATGCCTTCATTTCCACTTCTCATCATCCCCATGGCCAGGCTGAAGTCACCTTCCTCTCTCAGGCTGGAATTATTGCAATACCCCTAACTGGTCTCCTTGCCTCTGGCCTTGCC